TGATTGTTCACCAGATTTCTTTTTTGAATTTTTCTCCATAATTCCGGTCCTTTTATTTATGTGACAACACCACCCCAATGGATGATCAAGCCCACCATATATATGCATATTTGGCAGACCACCTCCACACGAGCTACCCCACACGTGTCATCCGTTGACGAGGACTGTATAATAATTGTCAGAAATAATTTGAACAAAGTGAGGTCGACAAGCTATCCAGCGCTCCACTGAATCAATAATGTATCAAGAAATCGCTATCCTTAGTGTCGTGCAAGAAGAGAGGTTGAAAATCAATATGTAATGATTGAAGAGTTTTGTTTTGGGTGTATCGTATATTGCACAAAACCCCAAGAACTTTCAATGTTTTGTAGCAAACCCCCAATATCTTTCAGAATCGCACTACGCATCGATAACTTTTGTGATTTGTAGATAACCCCAATAATTTTTTTACATTTTGCAGATAACCCTCATAATTTATAACAAAATAAAACAAAATAAAAAGGTATTTTGAAAGTTATTGGTTTTTTTTGTAGAAGTTATTGGGGATTTAGTGCAATGTTTAAAGTTATCAGGGGTTTAGTACAAAATCCTAAAAGTTCTTGGGGGTATAGTGTAATTTACTCTTATATTTTTTTCAAGCAATTAGTGGATAGTGTTTAGTGAATAAAACAATGGGATAACCACAATTAAATATACAGTAGTTGTTTTTTATTTTTGCATACGAAAATCAATCCTAAGATTTTGGGAGCCATATTGGGAACTATCAACCATCCGAGTCACATGCGGTTCTCCAGATATTCACTAATAAATTGTAGATACAAAGCTATAGTGTAAGAATCTACCCACATATAGTTTTGCCGACATTTCTAAAATTGTTCTATTTGATGAAATCCTGTCTTCGGTTTCGAAGAGATGTCACATGAGAATCAATGTGATGATAAATCACCTTACAAACATTAAAAAAAACTAAATTACCGGTCTAAATCGGGGGACAAAAAGTAACCAGATGTAACTGCTAATTAACACACAAATAATTAGTTTCATCTTATTTCTTCACGAGACAAAACAATTAAAATGTTCACGAAACAGGCTGTATATTCCTTCAGATTTTAATAATTGATTTAAGGGAAAAATGCTTCCAGCCCCCAAAAGCCAAGTGAACGTGTTTCCCACCCCCAAGACTTGGTCAATAAGTGTTTTACCCCTAAAAATAAAGATTTTGTTCTCTGAGCCCCCAAAACACAAAACCCAAGACATTAAAACATGTGAAGACCATAATACCATTCTCTCTCTCTTTCTTTTTTTATTAAAATATGATGATGATTATTTTATTATTTCTCTCTCTCTCTCTCTCTCTCTCTTTATCATGATGTACCAAGAGGATCTTTAGATAGGTAACCCTAACAATTAAACCCGTAACCTTAACAATTAAACCCGTAACCTTAACAATTAAACTCGTAACCTTAACAACAAATCCCGTAACCTTAACAATTAAACCCGTAACCTTAACAATTAAACACGTAACATTAACAATTAAACACGTAACATTAACAATTAAACCTGTAACCTTAACAATCTCCCAATATAAACAAAAACAATTAGTTTCCCCATTAACAACTAAAATAATAAAAAATAAAAATAATAAAATAATCATCATCAATCATTTCAACTATCCTCTTGGTACATCATGATAAAGAGAGAGAGAAAACAAAAATAATAAAATAATCCCCATCATATTTTAATAAAAAAAGAAAGAGAGAGAGAGAGGATTCATAACCTTAACAACAAACCCTTAACCTTAACAACCAACCCGTAACCTTAACAATCAACCCGTAACTTTAACAACCTCCCAATACAAACAACCAAAATAATAAAAAACGAAAATAATAAAATAATCCTCATCAATCATTTCAACTATCCTCTTGGTACATCATGATAAAGAGAGAGAGAAAACAAAAATAATAAAATAATCCCCATCATATTTTAATAAAAAAAGAAAGAGAGAGAGAAGGGTATTATGGTCTTCACATGTTTTAATGTCTTGGGTTTTGTGTTTTGGGGGCTCAGAGAACAAAATTTTTATTTTTAGGGGTAAAACACCTATTGACCAAGTCTTGGGGGTGGGAAACACGTTCACTTGGCTTTTGGGAGCTGGAAGCATTTTTCCCTTAACACAACCTTAACAACAAACCCTTAACCTTAACAACCAACCCGTAACCTTAACAATCAACCCGTAACTTTAACAACCTCCCAATACAAACAACCAAAATAATAAAATACGAAAATAATAAAATAATCCTCATCAATCATTTCAACTATCCTCTTGGTACATCATGATAAAGAGAGAGAGAAAACAAAAATAATAAAATAATCCCCATCATATTTTAATAAAAAAAGAAAGAGAGAGAGAGAGGATTCATAACATTAACAACAAACCCTTAACCTTAACAACCAACCCGTAACCTTAACAATCAACCCGTAACTTTAACAACCTCCCAATACAAACAACCAAAATAATAAAAAACGAAAATAATAAAATAATCATCATCAATCATTTCAACTATCCTCTTGGTACATCATGATAAAGAGAGAGAAAAAACAAAAATAATAAAATAATCCTCCATCATATTTTAATAAAAAAAGAAAGAGAGAGAGAAGGGTATTATGGTCTTCACATGTTTTAATGTATTGGGTTTTGTGTTTTGGGGGCTCAGAGAACAGATTCTTTATTTTTAGGGGTAAAACACCCATTGACCAAGTCCTGGGGGTGGGAAGCATGTTCACTTGGCTTTTGGGGGCTGGAAGCATTTTTCCCTTGATTTAATTGTAATTGAAAATAGTTTTAGAAATTTTCCTGTCATGATAAACGAGATGACAGTTCCGAAGGTGGATTCGCCTACTTAAATCAGGGCCGACTCCAGTCGGGTACGAGGAGGGCCTAAATTTAGCGATCCGTCCGTTTCAGCTCTACACGCGAAGGCCTAACGAAAGTCACGAGCTGGTTTGAATTTTGCTAGGAAAATGTACGTGTTTTGTTTTTATCTTGGAATTTTCACGAAATATGAATTTTGGGAAGCTTCTTTGATGGTCCAGCTTCTTGGCTTCCACTGTCATAAAAGCATGGAATGAATCTCAACTATTGTTTTATTACTAATGAGTCCATAGCGGAGACCATATGTGCTCGATCACTCATTAAACTTCCACCACAAATCAAAAAAATGAACTGATAAATTTGGTGGTTTTGGTTTATTGAAGAATAGAAAAATGTTCAAAAATATAATTAATGGTTTTTTTTTTTTGTTCCCGAAGAAAATTGTTGGCAAAACCCTCAATCGTAATCCTCGCTTTGGCAGTTGTGACGAACGAAGACATAATTGGGTGGCTTATACAAAGAAATGGTTTTTGCATGAATACCCCCCTCACATCTTCTATTTGCAAACTTACCCTTCAAATCTTGGTATTTTCAAAATATTACCCTCCAATTGTCTCGCATTGAGCTTTTCTACCCCTTCCAACTTGACAATTTTAGTTCTTAAACAGGAATCCGTTGCTACCTTAACACTTACCTAATTGAAATTATTCAAAATTTTTAGTATTCCACCGTCTAGAAACCAACATTGTTTAAGTATGAAGGGTGGGAAGAAAAAATCCCATGTGAGAGATTTGGGGGTGATTTTTCAAAAAAGCAAGATTTAGAAGATAAATTTGCAAATATAGAAGATTTGAGGGGTATAAATGCAAAAACCCCAAAAGAAACTTCCTCGTTCCTTCCAAACCATACCCAACCAACGACTGTTGTTGCCAGGCGAAACCTTAAAAACCCAACCATCAATTTTCTAGTGGCGGTGACGATTTCAGTTCTATCAATTACAAGGAGAAGTTTATGATGAATAGACTATATTTACTATGATAAATAAATAAACTAAACTGAGAGAGAATTACTTATACTGATTCTGGTCTCGGATACAGAAAGGGGTTCGAAGTATGAAAAAGGTCATTATCATTCAACTCAACGTAATGTAAGATCAAAGCCAACATGAATCACATTGAGCCGAACATCAAGATTCTTCTTCTCTTCTTCTTTGTCAACAAGTAACATTTGGACACATCACCTACATGATGTATACTTAACGGTCATATATAAAAACAACACTAATTACTAGAGGCTTCTCTTTGTCCACTTTGTAGTCGAAGAAAATTTTGATTTAAACTCATTCCCACTTTTTATTTTAAAAACCGACCGACTCTCTTTTTATTTACAGGGATCTACCCACTTCTCGGTCATGTCAGCAACGTGGCCGCGAAGGGGGTCGATTTTTTTTTAATCTCGTCGCTAAATAGTTGAGGTTGCTAACCCCCGACTATTTTTACAGAAGCAAAATTAGTCGGGGTTGGCAACCCCAACTATTTAGCGACGAGACTAAAAAAAATCGACCCCCTTCGCGGCTACGTTGCTGACATGACCAAGAAGTGAGTCGATCCCTAGAAATAAAAAGAAAGTCGGTCGGTTTATCCCTAGAAATAAAAAGAAAGTCGGTCGGTTTAAAAAAAATTAGACAATAAGTTTAAAACAAAAAATTCTTCCTTTATAGTCACTAATAACTACATCCTAGAATACCTCTCGCCATCAAATATATGGCCTAAAAAAGGCCACATGTCTCGTTACACGCTTATTGTCTGGAAACTTTGTGACTCACAACCTATGGCCCATCAGTTCAGACTAGCTATCTTTGTTTCAAAGTTTCCGATAACGAGCAAAACATTGTAGATTTGTCCCCAGCCAATTTATTTATGAACATATCCCCATATTCAAAAATTAGGTACAATTGACCCCAATTTCCAACTAAACATGAAGCATTTTCGAGCTAGACCACAAAAATGCGAGGCTACAAGCACAATAATAGAGCACCACAAACAATACAAAAGATGAACTTGTACATCACACGTACTTTAAATAGCACCTAAAGATAAAATACCACCAATTAGAGGTTTCTTCTCATCTTAATACACTCAAGTCTACAATAACTATTTCTTGATAATAATTTTGGTCATCAAAATACATGGCCTGGGAATTGTCATCCCTGATCTCATTTTTTTTTTTAAATCTTCCCTATATAAATCCCATGGCTACACAAATCCAACTTCAACTAATTCCTCCCAAAATCCATACGCATACATAACTTCTTCTTCCAATGGATTCTAACTCAAATGATTCCAAAACTCCTCTCCTCCCTCTCCAAAGCCATCCAAATGTCTCCACCATCTCCTTCGTCAACACCAAGAATCTTGCTATAATCTCTGGCCCTCTCTCTTGCTTCTCCATATATTTCTTCGTCGAGATTGATGGCCAGCCGTTAAGCAGAAATTTGCTGGCGGTACTGAGTTGGGTGTTTTTGTGGTGGCTAACCCCCAACTATTTAGCGACGAGACTAAAAAAAATCGACCCCCTTCGCGGCTACGTTGCTGACATGACCAAGAAGTGAGTCGATCCCTAGAAATAAAAAGAAAGTCGGTCGGTTTATCCCTAGAAATAAAAAGAAAGTCGGTCGGTTTAAAAAAAATTAGACAATAAGTTTAAAACAAAAAATTCTTCCTTTATAGTCACTAATAACTACATCCTAGAATACCTCTCGCCATCAAATATATGGCCTAAAAAAGGCCACATGTCTCGTTACACGCTTATTGTCTGGAAACTTTGTGACTCACAACCTATGGCCCATCAGTTCAGACTAGCTATCTTTGTTTCAAAGTTTCCGATAACGAGCAAAACATTGTAGATTTGTCCCCAGCCAATTTATTTATGAACATATCCCCATATTCAAAAATTAGGTACAATTGACCCCAATTTCCAACTAAACATGAAGCATTTTCGAGCTAGACCACAAAAATGCGAGGCTACAAGCACAATAATAGAGCACCACAAACAATACAAAAGATGAACTTGTACATCACACGTACTTTAAATAGCACCTAAAGATAAAATACCACCAATTAGAGGTTTCTTCTCATCTTAATACACTCAAGTCTACAATAACTATTTCTTGATAATAATTTTGGTCATCAAAATACATGGCCTGGGAATTGTCATCCCTGATCTCATTTTTTTTTTTAAATCTTCCCTATATAAATCCCATGGCTACACAAATCCAACTTCAACTAATTCCTCCCAAAATCCATACGCATACATAACTTCTTCTTCCAATGGATTCTAACTCAAATGATTCCAAAACTCCTCTCCTCCCTCTCCAAAGCCATCCAAATGTCTCCACCATCTCCTTCGTCAACACCAAGAATCTTGCTATAATCTCTGGCCCTCTCTCTTGCTTCTCCATATATTTCTTCGTCGAGATTGATGGCCAGCCGTTAAGCAGAAATTTGCTGGCGGTACTGAGTTGGGTGTTTTTGTGGTGGCTAACCGAGGCTGTTCCTATGGCGGTTACTTCTATGTCTCCTCTCTTCCTCTTTCCTATGTTTGGAATCGCGACGGCTGATGATGTGGCTAAGTCTTACATGGATGATATAATTGCCCTTGTTCTTGGTAGCTTCATTCTTGCTTTGGCTGTTGAGCACTACAACATTCATCGCCGGCTTGCTCTCAATGTGAGTCTTCTTCAGCTCAAACTTCCTCTGTTATCCCTCGATCGGGTTATCTGCAAGTATACTCTTTAGGGAAGAAGATTCTATAGAAGAGTCTTTATATAAAATCATATAAGAAGAAGGAAAGTAGAACACTGCACTTCACAATTAATTTTAAACGAGTGTAATCAGTGCGGGCAAAGGAAAGTCAATACAATCAGAATATTTTATGTGTGGTCACCAACTTATAATTTATACCGGTGTCAACCAAAATTTCAAAGTTACGAGGGGTTGAGGGTTATATTTCTATATTCCTATGCGCACCCACAGGTTGATCGCCCTTGGTTTGAAACCTGATGAACTCACACACCAACAACAATTTTCTTTTTAAATCCGCTTTTATTTCATGGGCTCTGAAATCATGTCAAAAGTCTCTGCCACTGCGTCACAACTTCGAACTAATGATGAGAGTTGAAGGACATATCGTCGTACTCAAGCACTTAGCAATTAAGCATCTGATTCTGAACATCATGAGAACCCTATTTCGGAACTAACAACAAAAAGATACATATGCTGATAAATAACTACATTCTTTTCCTAACACCAATTGTTTTTACACTGTGAGAGTAGATAACATCCTTATTCTGCGGTGATCCGCTAAACCCCCACCTCCTCCTCCTCGGGATCTGTGCCACCACAGCATTCATAAGCATGTGGATGCACAACACAGCGGCCTCCGTCATGATGATTCCAGTCGCCACCGGAATCCTACAGAGATTCGCTGACAACGCAGTGGTGGACCCTGCCGTCATCCTATTCTCTAAAGGAGTTATATTGGGAGTTATTTACTCTGCAGCAATTGGAGGGATGAGCACTTTGACTGGGACCGGAGTTAATCTCATATTGGTTGGAATTTGGGAGAGCTATTTTCCTCAAGAGAAGGCGATTAGTTTCAGCTCTTGGTTTATGTTTGGATTCCCTTTGGCTGTTTTGATTTTCTTTTCTTTGTGGGGGATACTTTGTTTTCAGTATTGTTCGAAGGGGACAGAGAAGGCGCTCTCTGCTTATTTGGATAGAGCCCATTTGAAGAGGGAGCTTGAGACGTTAGGTAACAATCTTTACTAACTCCTTTTAGGGTTAATTGCACATAGACCCCTGTAGCAATGTTGTTATGAACTTAATACCCATTTTTGACAAGTCACTAAAACTGAGTTACACTTGTTCCTTAAACTAGTTTTTGGACAGAACCGGTTTAGTTGGTCATCCCCCCTAGTTCACCACTAAAAACAATTTAGAGGTCTAAAAATATGCTAAAGTAAAACTGTTCACTTATCGACCAGTTTTTAACAATCAATAAAACAGTCTAAAACTGGACCAGATTCGCTTTAGAGAGTTGTCAAACACACTTTTGGTGAATTTTTTTACTCATTTACCCTCAGGAAGGTTGGCTAATTTCAGTCATGGGCAAAATCTATCAAAATTTCACTCAGGATAAAAGAATAAAAAAATTTAACCTCGAGGGCGAATATCTGCAAAAATGAAAACAATATGGTTGGAAGTTCACAACAACAACATTATATGGGGTCTATGTGCAATTAACCCTTCTTTTCATGAGGTAACATGCTTATATACATAATTTTGGAGATTATTGATGGATACATGATATTAATATTGCAGGACCAATGGCTTTTGCTGACAAAATGGTTTTAAGCGTGTTTGGGGTATGCTTTTACTGGTGCCATTTGTTTTGTTTGTCGCATGAAACGGATATTTTAAGTTTCTATAATTGTCTCTATATATTTTTGGTTTTTTCCCCCCAGATGCTTGTGGTTCTGTGGATGACAAGAAGCATAACAAATGAGGTCCCTGGATGGGGACGGCTGTTCGATGGTCGCGTAGGAGATGGATCTGTCAGTGTAAGTGCAAATAAAAATAGATAGATAAATAAATAAATAATTCCTCCAAGCATAAGATTTTATGACGAGTGGAATCCTATGCAATATATGAATATAAGCTATGTACTCTTGAGTTAAATATAAATTAGGACGTCTCAACTGGAAAAGTATTCTGCAGAAGCTTATCTTCCACTAGGGCGTTATATTTTATTGTTTATAATAAAAACAAAATTTTCATTATAAGTATGTACAATTGGCTACACGAAAACTGTTCTTAACAAGTATTATCTATTTTCTACTAAGACCTACTTATATTAATCAAGGACAAATTTTCAAAAAAACCATTTTTGAAACTTATTTTTAAAAAATGATCTGTTTCAATTTTAATTATCAAAACCGACCCAGTTTCAGTCCTGAGGCTGAAACTGGGTCAATTTTGGTAATTAAAGTTAAAACAGATCGTTTTTGGGGAATATTTTTGCTAAAGGGTTAGTTTTGAAAAATTATCCATTAATCAACCTATTATATCAGTGTAAACATCAAGATTGTCTCAGTGCAATCACTATATTAATACAAATCACAAACTTTAAAATTTGTTTTGGATTGTTTGCGGTCTGCTCAAGGGTACAAGTTTTATCACAACACCCGTAGAATGGAGATCTATGCCATTGATGAGAGAGTCCACTATTAGTTTGGAAAATGTAATCTATGGTAAAAATTGGAGTCCACTATTAGTTTGGAAAATGTAATCTATGGTAAAAATTGCTCTATTCCGTTATGGGTGACTCTGACAGGAATTGTGTTGTCATTGCATATGACCAATAATTTCTGATTGCAGATACTAATGGCCACTCTACTATTCATAATCCCAAACAAGAAAAACCCAGGAGAGAAACTAATGGATTGGAACAAATGCAAAAAGCTCCACTGGAACATCATCCTCCTCCTCGGGGCTGGCTACGCCATTGCCGACGGGGTCCACACCACCGGCCTCGCTGACATCCTCTCCCAATCCCTCTCCTTCCTCCGCTCTGCTCCCTACCTTGCCATTGCTCCCCTCGTTTGCTTAGTAAGCAGCACCATCACCGAGTTCACCTCCAACAACACCACTACAACTCTTGTTGTTCCTCTCCTTATTGAAATGGCTAAGACCATGAAGGTTCATCCTTTGTTGCTTATGATTCCTGGTGCTATTGGAGCTCAGTTTGCGTTCTTTTTGCCGACTGGAACGCCATCGAATGTTGTTGGGTTTACGACGGGGCATATTGAGATTAAGGATATGATTAGGACCGGAGTGCCACTTAAGGTTGCTGGTGTTCTTGTAATTTCTGTTTTGATGCCTACTCTGGGTGCATTTGTGTTCAACACGAACAAGCTTGTAGATTATTAGTTATAAACAAATGTAAATCCTCATAGTTGAGTGTGTACATATTTCTTATGTTCATAGGTGGTAATAGATCCAAACTGTTGTGTAATTTCCAAAATTATGGGGTTAATAATGAATGGATCCCCTGTACTATCGTCAACTGCAAATAGATCCTATCATGCCCTGGGCTCACTAGCCCCTTGATGCGCAATAAGTCATGGAACCCGCTGAGTGTAGTGCGTTGTTTGACTCTAACTAGTATCAAAATTGATTGGCCCATGCTACACTTGGCTGTTTAGACATACTATTTAAAACATCAAATCTGTGGGACTGAACATTAGGACCTTCACAATCGCCCCACCTTAATAAGCAATGTCCACATTGTGGCATGACAACTAGCACATCATAGTATCATCGCCAAACGATGTGGGCAAGGTGGCTCCTACGGGCTCCAGAGACGTCTCTCACCGCGCTCATGTAATGTAGCACTTAACCCCATATAACACTTACTTCCGATTGGCTAACTACTCTGATACCATTTGTCTATCACTATTCACTTTATTTCAAAACACATTACTTGTACCAAAATAATATTAGTATAACTAGATCACTTTGTCAAAATCATGGACTTCAAATCAAATGGACAACTGTAAAGCTCATTAACAATTTATAAAATTCACTTTTATTTATTTATTTATTTGTAAGTGAGATGATTATGATGCTCCTAATTATAGTCATATATTGACTAGTGGGAAGAGAATTTATGGGTTTATAAGGTAAACCTTGCGATTCCAGTTGTAACATGGTTAACTATTTTGGTTGTGGATTGCGTCAAACATATGTTGCACTAAATGGGCTCCACAACTTACATCATGCCAACAAGCTCACGGGCCTGTGGCGTGATATAGTATGAGAGCAGTTAGCCAGCCAGAAATGTAGAGCTAGGTGATATACGAGGCTAAGTGTTACATAGCGTGAGTTGGATAAGAGCCACCATTAAAGCCTGGAGGAGCCATCTCTAGAATCTCTATCATCTGGCAGTGATACTAAGATGTGCTAATTGTCATGCCGCGACTAGGACTTCACCTAATTAAGATGGGGCGATTGTGAAGGCCCCAATGTTCAGTCCTACATTGGAAAAACAAAGAGAATTTTGAGGGTTTAAATAGTATCTATAAGGATCCAAGTGTAGCATCAACTAGTCAATTTTGGCAGTGATTTAAAGCCAAATAGTGTGCTACACTCGGTGGATCTCACGGCTTATATCGCGCTAACGGGACTCGTGGGCCCGGGGCGTGACACCCCCCATGTAATTCTATTGTTGCATATAGACCCCTGAGTGAAAATTTTTGTCTCTTTTACCCTTAAAGAAAGGAAATTTTGGTTTTGACAAATAGACATCATGAGGGTAAAAGAGTGAGAAAAACACCATAGGGTTTTTATACAACAATAGAAATGCGGGGGTCTATCAGCAATTAACCCTTTTTCTTATTGTTTATTGATAACATTGTAGACTCTTGTTAAGGTTTGTGGCCCATAATGTTATTGTACATACTGTCATATGATACGTACAGCTTGATCAAGTATCAAATGATGGGAGTTAATTATTAAGGTAGGACGTTGGCCTCTGTAGGGTTCTAGAAGGCATGGGTTTTCTATTTTGGGGGATAAAAAGAAGTTCAATTGTCTGGCTGAAGTGCACCTCAATCCTCTATCAAGCCAACAAGGCTTATCCAGTCTTCTCAATACGTTCATCCAAGCTTATCTGATTCATCATCATTGGATCCTATTTTAAAGCAAATGTTCTGTTGATGCTAATGTCAGCAGAACGTGAAGCGTCTTTTGGAGTTTTGGACTCCATCCTAGATATAATAATGGCACTACTCAAAGGAAAGAAAATGACTCAGAAACACTAATTGAGTCCTGGAGAACAAGTGATACTGTAGAGTGCACCATACTTTCTGTTCTCTTAAAAACCCTTTCATCAAAATTTAATTGAAGAACTACAGATCGGTAAACTCTAGAACTATAAGTTAAAAAAATAATCGTTACTTTTATTTAATATGTTTCTTATTATCTTTATATCTTGTACACCCTTGGCTTATTCCCCATTAGAAGTTAGAACGGTTTTGCCACTTGCCATCTTCTCGTCTCAAAACTCTGACACTCCAAGAGGCAAGAAGCATTATCGTAATGTTTCAACGTGTAAAAGAGTGTCCATTACTACATGATTAACTATCAAATGATGAGGACGGTGTATTAATAAAGTAGAATGTCGGCACTACTATAAGTTTAAAAAACGCATCTCAGGCTTACCTCTTCCTTGTAATGTTTTTTTCTTCCCTTTTTCTTATAGGAGCTTGGGAAGTAGTTCAGAGGACCAACAGAAGTCATCTAATCTTCTGAATGAGCACATCTAAACTTATCTAATTCATCATTAGATACTAATTTAGATAATTGTTATGCTGATGCTAGCGTGAGTGTGTAGATACCTAAGCATCTTTCAAAATCGCATAAACAATTGCAAATAAGAACCTAACATTCTGTATCTTTGGTAAGAAATAATAATAGTTAAAATAAATGTTATAAGATCTATGGCAATCCGGTCAGCAATGCCTATACTTACTTTAAATTAAAAGCTCATGACCCAGAAACCTAAGAGGAACGGGGTAGCATCTACAGAACTCAAATGAGGGGCAAAAAAACTTGGTAACTAAACTAGGACAAAATAAAACAAACAAAACAAAATTAATAAAATCCCTTTTGTAGGTTTTCCATAACCCTAATTCTTATCCAAAACATTGGTACGGACCTAAGGTGAAGAAACTAAAACTTTTAAATAATATTTTGTGCACTGCAGGACCCCCCTACAATTCATTCAATAGGTGCAATCATCCAACCTTCTGTTAGTCTAAGGTGTAGACTCAAAGTTCGAAATGAAAGCTGGAATCAAAAGGACGAGAAAACGAGCAAACAGAACTGCGGTCGACCGGGTCGGTCGACCGCGAACGTGCACAGGAGCAAGGAGGGCTTGGATCAGGTCGCGGTCGACCGGCCCGGTCGACCGCGCCGGTCGACCGCCAAACTCTCTGGAGTCTGTTCGGTCGACCGGACGTAGTTTTGACAGTTTTCTGTTCCGCTTGGGATTCTGTTTCAACCAGGGTTCTATATATACCCCAAACGATTTTAGGGTTTGTACTACATCAAAAAGAGAGCTTTTTAACTGCAAAGAGAGAGAATCTCAGAGAGATTAACCCCTTGTTTGAGAGCTTATATTTTCTTCTTCAATTAATAAAGAGATTATGTGGTGTGGCTCCCGAGGACGTAGGCACATTGCCGAACCTCGTTAAATCTGTGTGTTCATCTCCCTTACTGTTTTTTGCAAGTTAGATCTTTATTTGTGGTTTTATTCCTACTTTCCTACTTTCAACACAAGGTCCGGAAGGGCAAGGGTTCGATTGATTGTTTCGAATCCCCAACAACTGGTATCAGAGCTTCGTTCAGCAATTTGTGTGAAAGCCATGGCAGAGGAAAGCAAATCAAAGATTGAGAAGTTCGATGGATCGGATTTCGCCTACTGAAAGTCACAGATGGAGGACTATCTGTACCAGAAGGACTTGTATCGCCCGCTGATGGGCAAGGAAAAGGGAAAGAAGAAAGAGGAGTCAGATGGTGATTGGGAGGTACTGGATAGGAAGGCTCTAGGGCAAATCCGGTTGTCGCTCGCCAAATCAGTAGCCCACAATATTCTGAAGGAGAAGACGACGGTGGGGCTTATGGAAGCGCTCGCGAAGATGTACGAGCAACCGTCGGCAGCAAACAAGGTGCATCTAGTCAAAACTCTTTTCAACCTCAAGATGGCAGAAGGACGGTCCTTCACAATGCACCTCAGCGAGTTCAATACGATTGTTGATCAACTTCTCTCCGTGGACATCACGTTCGATGACGAAGTGCAGGCCCTTCTACTACTATCGCAGTTGCCGGATAGTTGGGCAGGTTATGTGACGGCAATCAGCAATTCGGCGGGGAAAGAGAAATTGAAGCTGAATGAGGTTGTTAGCATGATTCTATCCGAGGAGGTTAGAAGGAAATCGTCTGAATCAGAAGGTTCAGGTTCAGCCCTAAGTTTCGAACAGAGAGGTAGAAGCCAGAAGAAAGGGAACCAGAACAGGAATCGGTCGAAATCAGTGAAGAAGAGGCCGAACTCGAAGGTTAGATCTATCAAAGGGAAGTGTTGGAACTGCGGCCAGGAGGGCCATATGTCTTCGGTCTGTAAAGCACCAAAGAAGGATACGGGTGAGCAGAAGGCTCATATCGTGCAGGATGCCTTGATCCTTGCTATGGATAGCGACTCTGATTCTTGGGTCATCGACTCAGGAGCATCTTTCCACGCCACTGTTAATAGGAAACTACTTCAGAACTATGTAACAGGGGACTTTGGTAAAGTATATTTGGGGGATAATGAACCTTGCAATATTGTTGAAAAGGGCGACGTTCAGATACAGATAAAGGGCTCTAAGTGAAATTTGAAGAACGTGAGACACGTGCCGAAGCTGAAGAGGAATCTTGTTTCGGTGGGACAGCTTGGAGCAGAAGGTTACGTTTCGACATTCACCGGGGATTCGCGGAGAATCTCCAACGGTACGATGGTTGTTGCCCGAGGCAATAAAACGGGAACTCTCTACCTCACTTCACATGCGAGTGACACCCTCGCAATTGCAGCAGGCAAGGAGAGTACAGATTTGTAGCACAATAGGCTGGGGCACATGAGCGAGAAGGGGATGAAAATTCTACATTCACAAGGAAAGCTAACCAGGATCGACACCGTGGAAGTCGGGGTTTGTGAAGACTGCATCTTTGGGAAGCAGAAGAGGGTTAGTTTCCAGAAGGGTGGAAGGCCACCTAAGGCTCAGAAGCTAGAGTTGATTCATACAAATGTATGGGACCCAGCCAGTGTGTCTTCTTTTGACGGTTCGAGATACTATGTCACCTTTATCGACGATCACTCGAGGAAGGTGTGGGTTTACTTCATGAAGCACAAGTCAGAGGTGTTCGAAATCTTCAAGAAGTGGAAGGCCATGGTCGAGAACGAGACAGATCTGAAGGTGAAGTGCTTGAGATCAGATAATGGTGGAGAATACAAGCTGGAGGAGTTCAAGAGGTTCTGTGCTACGAATGGGATTCGCTTAGAGAGGACTACTCCAGGGACGCCGTAGCAGAACGACATTGCAGAGAGGATGAACAGGACCTTGATAGAGCGTGCGCGGAGCATGCGATTACATGCAGGTCTGCCTAAGACATTTTGGGCGGATGCGGTACATACGGCAGCATACCTTATTAATCACGGGCCATCAGTTCCATTAGATTTTGGGATTTCAGAGGAGGTTTGGAGTGGAAAGAAGATAAATCTCTCACACTTGCGGGTATTTGGTTGCGTGGCTTATGTTCATATCAGTGACCATGTCAGGGACAAGCTAGAAGCTAAGTCACAGAAGTGCACATTCATTGGATACGACATTAATGAGTTCGGGTATCGCCTTTGGGATGAGAAGAACAGGAAGATCATCAGGAGCCAGGATGTAATATTCAATGAGGAGGTGATGTACAAGGATAGGGATAATGCCAAGGATAGCCAAAGCAGTGGGAACAGTACTACGGATATAGGTGGATCCGAGTACATGGATTTGGAGGAACTTCCAGATGGGGGCGACGATGTCAGTTCTGACCGTAGAACGGATGAGACTACAGGTGCAGAAGCTACTACCCAGGGCGTGGAGCCTAGGAGGTCATCTAGGGTACCCAAACCAAATCCCAAATACCTCTCGTCACTTGATTATCTACTCTTAACAGATAGCGGAGAGCCGGAGTGTTATGAAGAGGCAGTGCAAGTGAGTGAATCTCAGTAGTGGGAGCATGCGATGCAGGAGGAGATGGATTCTCTACTCACTAATGAGACATGGGAGTTAGCCCAGCTACCTGCGCAGAAGAAAGCCTTGCACAATAAATGGGTCTACCGAGTCAAGCAGGAGAGTGATGGAAGCAAGAGATTCAAGACCAGATTAGTAGTGAAAGGGTTTCAACAACGGGAATGAGTAGACTACACGGAGATATTTTTCCCTGTTGTGAAACTCACAACCATCAGAGTGGGTTGAGTTTGGTAGCTGCAGAAGGCCTCTTCCTTGAGCAGTTAGATGTGAAGACTGCCATTCTTCATGGTGACTTGGATGAAGAAATCTACATGAAGCAGCCTGTTGGCTTCATTGAAGAAGGAAAGGAAGAGATGGTGTGCAAGCTCAAGAAGAGCTTATATGGTTTGAAACAGGCTCCGAGACAGTGGTATAAGTCAAGAAGAGCTTATATGGTTTGAAACAGGCTCCGAGACAGTGGTATAAGAAGTTTGATAATTTCATGCAAAATAATGGCTACAGAAGATGCAATTCGGATCATTGTTGTTATTTCAAAAAGTTCGAGTCCAGCTTCATTATTTTGTTATTATATGTTGATGACATGTTGGTAGCATGACCGTGTTTAGAAGAGATAAATAGTTTGAAGAGGCAGTTAGCAAAGGAATTTGCAATAAAGGATCTGGGTGCAGCGAAGCAGATTCTAAGGATGCGAATCAGTAGGGATGAAGCTGAAGGGACATTGAGATTGAGCCAAGCTGAATACATTGAGAAGGTACTTCAGAGGTTCAACATGCAGAATGTTAAAGTTGTTAGCACACCCCTTGGAAGTCAGTTCAAGCTATCTGAGGAGCAATCGCCTAAGACAGATGCAGATAGAGAGCATATGAGCAGGGTGCCATATTCTTCGGCCATTGGGAATCTCATGTACGCGATGATTTGCACGAGGCTGGACATCGCTCATGCAGTGGGAGTTGTGAGCAGATTTGCAAGTAATCCAGGGAAGCAGCATTGGGAGGCTGTGAAGTGGATAATGCGGTACTTGAGAGGGACAACAAACAAATCACTATGTTTCAGGAGGAAGGAGTTGGTGCTGCAGGGATACGTGGATGCGGACTTCGCCGGTGATCATGATACGAGACGAAGCACCATGGGGTATGTTTATACCTTAGCGTCGACAGCAGTGAGCTGGGTCTCACTTCTGCAGAAGATTATGACTTTATCTACAACCGAGGCTGAGTATGTCGCGGTGACTGAAGCAAGCAAGGAGATGATCTGGTTGAACGGGTGCTTGGAAGAGTTGGATCTGAAGCAAGGGAGAGGAGTTCTTTATTGTGATAGCCAGAGCGCTATACATCTTGCCAAGAATCCAGTATATCATGCCAGAACGAAGCACATCGACGTCAAATTGCCAAGAATCCAGTATATCATGCCAGAACGAAGCACATCGACGTCAAATACCATTTTATACGCTTGCTGATCGAGGACAAAAAGTTGCATTTAATAAAGATTTTGGGGAGTCAAAATCCGACGGACATGTTGACGAAGGCAGTCACCATTGAGAAACTGGAGTTGTGCGCAACTTCAGTTGGCCTTCACGAGTAGAAGACGAAGGCGGAGCCAGACTACGAGGATCGGCGAGATCGCCGGGATATTGTTGATTGAAGGAAGAATTTTTTCGGGGGAAAAGATACATGCGAAGAAGGGAAAGTTCGGGGGAACTCATTGCAGGCACTTTGATCTCCAAGTGAGAGATTGTTAGTCTAAGGTGTAGACCCAAAGTTCGAGATGAAAGCTGGAATCAAAAGGACGAGAAAACGAGCAAACAGAACTGCGGTCGACCGGGTCGGTCGCCCGCGAACGTGCACAGGAGCAAGGAGGGCTTGGATCAGGTCGCGGTCGACCGGCCCGGTCGACCGCCAAAACCCTGTAGGAGAAACTGCTCTCGGGTTTTGCATCGGTCGACCGCGCCGGTCGACCGCCAAACTCTCTGGAGTCTGTTCGGTCGACCGGGCCGGTCGACCGGACGTATTTCCTGTTCTGTTTAGGAATCTGTTTCAACCAGGATTCTATATATACCCCAAACGATTTTAGGGTTTGTACTACATCAAAAAGAGAGCTTTTTGACTGCAAAGAGAGAGAGAATCTCAGAGAGATTAATCCCTTGTTTGAGAGCTTGTATTTTCTTCTTCAATTAATAAAGAGATTGTGTGGTGTGGCTCCCGAGGACGTAGGCACATTGCCGAACCTCGTTAAATCTATGTGTTCATCTCCCTTACTGTTTTTTGCAAGTTAGATCTTTATTTGTGGTTTTATTCCTACTTTCCTACTTTCAACACAAGGTCCGGAGGGCAAGGGTTCGATTGATTGTTTCGAATCCCCAACACCTTCATCATTTACTTGGTCTCAGTGGCAAAATGTCCCTTGTGTAGAAATGGTAGAGATCACGCATATGACAGTCTGACAGGTTGGCGGTCAACCGCGTTCATGCACAGACCTCTCTGTGCGTCTGCATCTTTGACGGTCGACCGCGGTTTTCTCTGGACTTTGGGGCATGTTCTGGATTTGGTGCGGTCGATCGTGGCAGTTGACTGTGATGTAGCGGTTTTGGGCTGGTTCTGTTTGCAGACCCGTTTCGTTGGGGTTTTCTATAAATACCCAAAATCACGGTTCTAAGGTTAAGGCAAAAGGGTTTTAGCAGCCATTATGGGGGATTTCTTGGGCTTCTATTGTTAGAGCATTTGGGAGAGATCAAGAGTGATTTGAGAGGGTTTTATGTGAGATTTGTAACCCTAGTTGTATCCCCTTGATTTCTAATAGTGAAAACTCCCCCTTCCTTGCCCCGTGGACGTAGGCAGTTCGTCGAGCCACGTTAAAACTGGTGTTGATTGTTTGTGCTATTGCTTTGGTGTGTTTGGCTCTCTCTCTCCGATTTGGTATTGGATCTCGGCACAGAGTTTTTCCCCAACACCTTGCAACTTTAAAAGATCAAAAATTGATCTGATATGAAGTATGTTTCCATAATCCTAGATGATTTTTAACAATCATAGTTTTTAATCATTTCCAGTGGACTAGGAGTAATTTGGATTGGAGCCTGAAGTTTAACTGATTTAGCTTTTTGATACGGGTTTTTGCATATATACCCTCAAATCTTCCATATTTTGTAAACTTGCCCTTCAAATCTTGGTATTTGCAAAATCACCCTCCATTCTCTCAAATTGATATTTTTCTTTTCCTTTCACTTAAAAAATTTTAGTCTATAAGTGGGAAGTTGTCGCAAACCTATTGGAAATTTTGACATTGCCTTATTTAAAGACAAACATTCTTAAGTTGGAGCGGTGGAATACCCAACGTGTTAGTTTTGAGGGGTAGTTTTGTAAATACCAAGATTTGAGGGGTAATTTTGCAAATATTGAAGATTGAGGGTATATATGCAGAAACCCCTTCTTTTTTATGTTGTGAACTTCAGCTATGGCTTTGTAGGCTTCCAAATGGGCTTCTGACTATGATCAAGCCCAGTATACACTTGCTAGTCGTGACAGGTCCCAAAACTTGCTTCTGCTCCGTCCCCCCCA